TTTTATTCTTCTCTACGTTTCCATTCTTCAACCGAAATTTTTCTTGTTTAACCGAAATCGAGCCGACAAACCTAAGCGAAAATCTTTGGGTTTTCGCGAGATTAACAATATTCTTAGAGGGAGGAAAATGTAAAAAAATAAGAAGGACATGGGAGAGGGGGATAAACAACAGTAGTATCGATCACCTTAGTGATCAATATCGAATGACCCAAAGATTAAGTGATCAAATGATCTCTATCAGTTGATCAATTGAAAAATTTGATCAAAATATGCTTCCCCGTCATTGGAACAACCTCCCAATGTTTTATAATAAAATTTAAAAATTTTCGATACTTTGGGTCATTCGATACTTTGGGTGTCGATACTTTGGGTCATTCGATACTTTGGGTGTCGATACTCTGGGTGTCGATACTTTGGGTGTCGATACTCTGGGGTGGACTCAAAAAAAGCAGTAAATAAAATTGATTTGGTGTATAACATTATGAATTTCTGTGTAAAAACATTACACTCTTATGTATATTTAAAAATATTGAACAACTGAAAAAATAAATTGAACTCAATATTGAACAACTCAATTAAAAATATTGAACAACAATTAATTTTAATCTTCTCTTTATCAATAATGTCTTTTTTGAATATGCCAAGCTCAAATAGAGGAAAGAGAGGAAGAAGGAAATCTGACCATTTTATACAATCTTAGTTAATAAAAATAATGGGGGGGGGGACAAGGTTTGAAAGTACCCGCATTTCTGTTCCACAATCACATGTTCTTTTTATTTCCGAGATCAGTGATCCATTGTTGAAGTTCATCGAGTAATTGAAATCGTTATAATGTTTAAATCAATGGTGAACACATTTTTCAAACTGACATAAAAATTAATCCTTTGACAGTTAGTTGCTACAAGCAAAACTTGCTGCAAGCAAAACAACCAAAACTTTAAAAAATACATTTGAAAGAAAGGGAGGAAAAGTCCGCAAAAAAAGTCCGCAGAAAGAGCCCCACAATCTTCAGTAGTACCAAATTTTTTTATTCGACTAAAAAAGAGAATTTATTGAAAATATTTATAAAGAAAACGGAAAAAATTGAAACAAAAAATTTTAAAATAAATTCAGCTAGGGCTAGAACTATAATTCAAATCTTATTTATAAATAAATTTTTATTAAATTTTAAAGTTGGTCTCTGTTGCTTGCTTAGCATTAGGCCTCTATTTATTTGTAAATGCTCCAAGATCCATATTAGAACAAGCAGATGTATTACTAAATCCAGCAGTGCTTCTTGCCTCTATTGGCTTAATTTCGGGTTTTGTTTCAATTTTTGGAATGTTTGGTGCACTCAGGGATAATGTGTTTTTACTTAAATTGGTAAAGTAGTAAATTTTTTGTTATTTTATTTAGAGATCGGAATTTTGTTCCGTACCGTATTCCGTACCGTAATACCGAAAAATACCGATACCGAAAAATACCGATGAAATTCAAAATGTTGCCGTACCGTATTCCGTACCGTACTACCGATACGGAATACCGATAAATACCGAAAAATACGGCCGTAGTACGGTACGGTCCGATCTCTAATTTTATTAGAGTGAGTAATTAGATTGATGTCTTTCAAGCATTCTTTGTCGATTAAAAACTAATTATAAAAATTATTTTTAGTTTGCCCTATGTGTTTTCTTTGGTTATCTTTTGCTGGTTGTATCTACTTGTCTTTTATTTCTTTTGGTAAGATTTTTTTATGATTGTGGCTATTTGACTCGGATTACTTAAATTTAAACTATCAATTGGCTTTCACCCATATACACAAAATTGATTTAAATTGAACTAAAGTAAGAAGTTGCATGCTTCTTTAATTTCTTGACATATAACATAATTGGCTTTAATAGACAAAAAAATAAAATATTTAATATTAAGCAAAATTATTCACACAATTCCAAGTTTTAAATCAAATATACTTTACAATATCATTTTTATATTTTATTAGTTTTATTCCGATGTTTCTGGTGAATCCTCAACATTTATATCTATTCAATCTGTGCTCCTACACTCAATTGCGCGATATCATTCCAATAAAAATTATGCTAATTTTATAGATTATCTTCAAGAACAAGTAATTTGTATTAATTTTTATAGAGATTACCGGCACGAAGTAGCTTTTTGTGTTTAAACTGTTAGACAAATTTGAGTTAGGCACATTAACAAGTTTTTATCTATCCAAGCTGTTTTGACCATCTACCCAATATATTTTTTCTGATACAGAATATGAATGTACTGGAACTATTTAACTTGAACTATTCTTAAAATCTAGTGTAAAAAAGTTTTTAATTAAAAATTTCGATAGAATTCAAATTTTTTTATGCTCAATATTATTAAACTTTTAAAACTATAAATATAAACTGAAAAAAAGCTTTAACTAACCGGAAATATTGCGTTTCTTTCTCGTTTATTTTTGGAAGCTAAACATGATTTAGCTAATCTGATAAAATCGCTTATTTGCTATTTATGAAGCAATTTTTTAAAATGATTATGAGTATCAACCAGAGCTGCATCGAACTTTCGATTTTATACGTTTTTTCTCCCGATTTTCGAATTTTTTCAGAAAATTTCGATTTTCGAAGATTTTTTCTTTCGTCGCAGCCTTGGTATCAACTTCATAAAAACAATCAAAATTAATAAAAATAATTTTTTAAAGCTTGAATGTTGTGGGAGCACAACTTTTCATGATTGGCAATTTAGTGAACAATTTAAATGTAACGCTTCAAATCCATATCCTGAACGGTTTTAAAAAATAATTTAAAAGAATTTAATTTTCAAGCTGTGGAGTGCCATACACTGCGGTGCATATGTTTATGCACACTAGTTTTTTGTTCATAATTTTATGCAATCTTATTCAAAAAATACGTTCTATATACCAATCGAAAGCTCTATTTGTATCTCAGTTGACATGTTTCTGCATTTTCCATGAAAATGAAAATTGGCCGAGATAATCCGGATCTGCCGGATATACCAAATCCCATATCCTCGGAAAAATTTTTCGGAAAAAATTTAACAAACCCATTTGATAAAGCATATTTTTGTGAGTATTTACCACAAAACCGCTTAGAAATATCTTTTTCCGGAACGGAGATATGATTTTTTGAAAATCGAAAAAAAGCGTTTTTTTGACGAAAAATTGCAAAAATATGGTATTTTTTCGATTTTCAAAAATTCATAACTCGGTCGAATCTCGACCGATTTGGATGATTTTTTTGTATTGTATGTAGAATCTAGAGGAGAATCACATATATTTTTTACAGACCTCAAAAAAATTTCTTCGAAAAGTTGAAAATGTAGTACCTGTTAGACCGGTCGAAAAGTTTTCGAAAATATCAGAATTTCGAAAAATGCAGAAACATGTCAACTGAGATACAGATAGAGCTTTCGATTGCCATATAGAACATATTTTTTGAATAAATGTGCATAAACTTATGAACAAAAAACTAGTGTGCATAAACATATGCACCGCAGTGTATTCTTGTTGTAGAAAATCTGTGGTTTCCAGAGCGGGTGCCGGTGAAGTTAACCCTCTCACACCTGCAATTCGCTCAATTCAGTGCTGGCAAAATGCTCAGAAGAAGAGAGAACAGGAATTAGATTCTGTTGGTTTTTATTAAAGGGTTCAATTTAGGGCTTGATTTTGGATTCTGATCTTCGGAAATTTATGGATCCACAAGCCTTAGTTTTTGGAGCAGACCGATATTTTGGGAGTAGGCCTAGTATACCGCCGAGCTATAACTTTTTTCAAAATTGTATTTTTTCAAAACCTCCGGATTTTTTTCAAAACCTCCGGAGCGTCCTGATATGGTTCGATGCGACTCGAAGGCTGAATAAAACCATACTAAGACCTCCCGGATATGACTATTTTAGAGACGGTATATCGGGGTTTACTCCGTAGTTTTACCCCGTTACGACGTTTATTATTGAGTGAGGCGGTTCCTTACATTAAGGATTTTTGGACCACAAATTCTTGACTCTGATATATCCATCAATATGAGTTTAATAAGAAGAGACGCCTTAACCCATAACCAATTTTCTATTGAGGCCATTAGGCGAGAATCAGCATAAAATTATGAAAGATGGGTAAATGGGAAAGTTACATTATTTTTTCTTAATCCCATTTACGCCTTCAATTGTTTGTTTTATTCACTTATTCTTGATTTTCACAATAATTTTAAAGGATATTTATGTTCTTGGATGTCTCCAACCATTACGTACATTATTTGATTCACATGCTTTACATATTGGAATGATTGTACTTTCTATTATATTCCCAGTGGTTTGTTTTGAAATACCTAATTTAAAATGACTTTTATTGATGAGAATAGGATTTTATTATTTTTTATTATAGTCTCAACAGCTTATTTAAATTAAGCAAAAATTGGATCAGGATTCTTGTTTAATATAGCATAATCTGTTAAAATTTTTATGACTAAACAGAAAGTAATCTTAATCAATCTTACATTTCAACGTATTCTGCAGTTTATTTTTGCAAGCTAAACTTTATTTAGCTATAAATCATTAAACTTTAAAATTTATTAAATCAAAACAACTCAATATTTAAGTGTGTAACTATTTGCCTCTCTCAGTGCTTGGCACGGCAAATAGACTATCAACACTTTTTACTACGAAGAGAACAAATGCGAATATCTCGAAATGAGAGGAGAGAATCCAATTATTCTTGATAAATATCCATTAATCAAATAATAACCTCTAGTACATCTAACCCCCGTAATTACTTCTAAGCCCCCTAAAAAGCAGAATTCCCGAAATTCCCGAAAATCGTGAATTCCCGACGATTTTTGGCTTGTGAATTTCCGAAAATCGTGAATTCGAAATTTTCGGGAATTCACGATTTCCGAAAATCGGGAATTCGATTTTCTGTCGGCGCGATCCCTGGTACATATTTCACTTCGTAAATATATTAGACAGCTTATTTGCTGACTTACAAAAATATACAATGGCATTCCATGACAGTGGGTTGAATAAATTTGAAATTCAAAATACTTAAATAAAATAAAAAAATAAAAAATTAACTATTGTAGAAATTTTTCTTTAAAACTTAAGTTTCTACTAAATTATTAAAAAAAATTTTAGATTGGAAAAACTGTAAGAAAGGCAAAAAAAGGATCATCTTCAAGAGCTTCAAGTTTCTCCCCTCTTCGGAATCTTTCAATTAAAAATAACAAAAAATGTGAAGGAAAGAGAAAGTCTTCAACCCTCGAATCTGTGCCAAACAATAAAATTAAAAAGCGGGTATTTGATGGCAAAAAAGAACAGCAACATCCAAGCCATAAAAATAATAATTTTGAAAAATTAAATAATAAAAATTGTATTAAAAATATTCAGCCAGAACCGTCTGCCCCTCCAATGTATTTTACTATGCAATTGCAACAACACCATTTTAATTAATTTTATTTTTGTGATTTTTTGTTTGAATAAACCAATTTTTTTATTATTTTATCTAGTCCAGATATTTCAAAACTCAAATTAAAAAACCCAAAGTCTTTGTTTAAAGACCAAGGGTCTTACCCGGATCTCTTTCCATGTACACCTTTTTTCCCAAAAATACCTAGTATACATATATCAGGGCTGGGCTTATTTCGCAATTTCGCATCTTTCGGATTCTTGCATTTTTTAGCGCGAAAGTTTTCGCATTTCGCTTTTTATTTTTTTCATTACGCCCATCTCTGGTATATATCATAGCGTATTTTAATAGTTTACGATAATTTACAGTGCGGAATTTTTCGGATTAATATTGATAATAAAAATACTCGAATCGGTATATGGAAATGAAAAGAAATTCTACTCGTTTAAAGATACAAGCTGCGCATACATCTTGACATTCTAATTTTTAGTTAGAAAATCTAACTTATAAATAATTAAGCAACATTATCTGCTATCATCCAAGCTTGTTAATTAACGTTTTACTTATACCAAAATTAAATAGAAAAATTATTCATGTTGAAATAGTTCGAGTTATTCTTCACTTTTATTCATAAATCAGTTGTTCTCTGTGTGTAAAGATTTATAATTAGAGCCCGACAATTTAGGTTCAAAAAATTGGGAAATAGGTTTTAATTTTAGGTTCTAAATGCCGAAATAGGTTAAAACCCGAAAAAAGCCCAAACAGTGCGATATCAAATTGGGAATATTGCTATACCCAAAAAAGTTGAATCTCTTTTCAGAAAAAATCTAAACACTAATTAAATTAAACACAAATGAGAATTCAATGTGTCTAAGAAGCTCCCAATCAAAAAAATAGCCTAAGGATTTGTTTAGGCTTCCAAAAAATAAAAACGCGAAGATTGATCGAGAGCAAAAAGCTATGTCATTAAGATAATATTAAATATCACAATAGTAAATTTAAAATATTGAGCATATAAAATTTCGCAGTTTTATTATGAGAATCCGGGATTAAATTAAAAAATATTTGAAACTAAGCAGTCGATTCCCACAAAACTAGGTAAATATTCTAAAGAAAACATGAAAAGGTCTAATACTTAATTAACAATTGCTTCCTAATGAATCAGTATGAAAAGTTTGTCATCAAAAAACCAGTACCTACCAACAACAAACAACATCTAGACTTGTAGAACCCCAAATAAGTCGACTCTATTATCAGAAAAATCTAATCTAAACGATATTAAAATCAAACACATATGAATTCAGTGTCTAAAAAGATCACAATTGAAGAAGATAAATAGCCTAATTGTTGTGTCCGCACTTGCAGAAAGAACATAAATGAAAATAAATAACCCAGCAATGGGTTGGATAATGGCACAGTCGGTTGTGCTTTCGGTTCGGGCCCTTTCCGTGATGGTTCAATTCCATCTCCCACCACAATTTTTCCACAGCATGAACTTCGGACATGACACTAATGAGTTGGATAGGTTTCCAAAAAAATCAAGCAGCTAAAACATACCGCGAACCTAAAAGCATATTTCATCATGACAATTAGGCCCCTTGAAACTTCTTATCCTCCTAATCCACCGATCGTCGATATCCCCTAATCCCTATATTATCCTAATATTCTAAATCAGCCAACTCTATCTAGCCATATACTATTTAATTCCTCGAATTGTTGAAATTTGTAAATTATTATGCTCCTAGAGTATAAAACATCTATTTAAAAGCGTTAGAATGTGACAACGTCTTAATGGGATATTCTGGATGAAAATTTGTCCAAAAACCGGTCCCGGTTAACCAAAAACCGGGGGTAAATCAAAAACCGGAACCGAAAACTGGGGGTCGAAAACCGGCGATAACCGAAAACCGCGGGTCCCGGTTAATAACCGGTATTTTCAACGTTGCCATAAATAGGCGATATCAAATTGGGATAAAAAAAATTCGACCTCAAGAAGTCGAAAGCTCTATCTGTATCTCAGTTGACATGTTTCTGCATTTTTCGAAATTCTGATATTTTCGAAAACTTTTCGACCGGTCTAACAGGTACTACATTTTCAACTTTTCGAAGAAATTTTTTTGAGGTCTGTAAAAAATATATGTGATTCTCCTCTAGATTCTACATACAATACAAAAAAATCATCCAAATCGGTCGAGATTCGACCGAGTTATGAATTTTTGAAAATCGAAAAAATACCATATTTTTGCAATTTTTCGTCAAAAAAACGCTTTTTTTCGATTTTCAAAAAATCATATCTCCGTTCCGGAAAAAGATATTTCTAAGCGGTTTTGTGGTAAATACTCACAAAAATATGCTTTATCAAATGGGTTTGTTAAATTTTTTCCGAAAAATTTTTCCGAGGATATGGGATTTGGTATATCCGGCAGATCCGGATTATCTCGGCCAATTTTCATTTTCATGGAAAATGCAGAAACATGTCAACTGAGATACAAATAGAGCTTTCGATTGGTATATAGAACGTATTTTTTGAATAAGATTGCATAAAATTATGAACAAAAAACTAGTGTGCATAAACATATGCACCGCAGTGTATGGCACTCCACAGCTTGAAAATTAAATTCTTTTAAATTATTTTTTAAAACCGTTCAGGATATGGATTTGAAGCTCGAACTTTCGATTTTATACGTTTTTTCTCCCGATTTTCGAATTTTTTCAGAAAATTTCGATTTTCGAAGATTTTTTCTTTCGTCGCAGCCTTGGTATCAACTTCATAAAAACAATCAAAATTAATAAAAATAATTTTTTAAAGCTTGAATGTTGTGGGAGCACAACTTTTCATGATTGGCAATTTAGTGAACAATTTAAATGCAAGACTCTTGGTTTTTAAACAAAGACTTTTCTGCAGCTTATTTCGTGGCTTACAAAAATACATATTCACCTATAATGGTCATCATGGGCTGAATAAATTTGAAATTTAAAATACTTATAAAATAAAAAAATAAAAAATTAACTATTGTAGATATTTTTCTTTAAAACTTATTTTCCTACTAAATTGATAATAAATTTTAGATTGGAAAAACTGAACAAAAGGCAACAAAAAAATCTTTTTCTAGAGCTTCCAGTTTCTCCCCTCTTCGCAATCTTTCAATTAAAAATAACAAAAAATGTGAAGGAAAGAGAAAGTCTTCAACCCTCGAATCTGTGCCAAACAATAAAATTAAAAAGCGGGTATTTGATGGCAAAAAAGAACAGCAACATCCAAGCCATAAAAATAATAATTTTGAAAAATTAAATAATAAAAATTGTATTAAAAATATTCAGCCAGAACCGTCTGCCCCTCCAATGTATTTTACTATGCAATTGCAACAACACCATTTTAATTAATTTTATTTTTGTTTGAATAAACGAATTTTTTAAAATATTTTTTTTGTGCCTAGAATACTTCAAAAATCGAAATGAAAATTCTAAGAAAAGTCTTTGTTTAAAAACCAAGAGTCTTGCACTCCTTTCCCTTCGATAACTCATCCTTATTCTAGATTCTTTACCTCGTGCTTTTGAAATTTTATTGCAATTGAGGCTGAATAAAATCATAAAATGAGCTCCAAAAACTCTTAACCATTAATTAAATTTAAATTTTATACATAAATTTAAATCTGCTTCTTTAAGTCTAGAATTGCGAGTGATGTTGTTTCTTGTTGGCACTGGTTTCTTGATGTGAGAACATACATACTATTCATAACTGATTCAATAGGAAGCAATTTTTAATTTTGCCTCTTCATGTTTTTTTAGAATGCATAATTTTGTGGCCTCTATTGCTTAGTCTATAATATTTTTAATTATATCTCGAATTCTCATAGTAAAATTTAGAAATTTTATATACTCAATATTATAAATTTACTTTACTGATATTTAATATTATCATAATGAAATATCCCTTTTGGTTTGCAGTAAGTATTTGAAGATTTATTTTTTGGAAGCCTAAACAAATCCTTAGGCTATTTTTCTTTTCCAATTGTGATCTTCCTAGACACATTGAATTCATCTGTGTTTAATTTAAATATTGTTTAGATTAGATTTTTCTGAAAAAAGATTCAACTTTTTGGGGTATATCAATGCCCCACATTTGATAACGACAATTTATTAAAACAGTGAACTAGTATCGCCAGAAAAGTCTGTTTCAATATCCAATAATCGCCACTAACCATCTTCGTCTTTTAGAGAGTCTTGGAAATTGATAGTTATTGGAAAGCTTGGCCACAATTTCGGCAAATGGCAGTTATTGAAAGCTCTCACTCTACTCAATTCTCTCACTCTATTCGACGTAGCACACTTCATTACCTACTGTCGAACCTCTAAAATTTCGAAAAAGATTCCATTTTTTTATGGCAGCGAAAAAATGATAAAACAGCTGTCATACAACCCGAAATTTTAACTAAAAACTCTTAAAAATAATTTAATTCTTGGTTCTTGTGTGGATTCAACTTAGAAATTTTAACAAGTCAATTAGCAGATCATAATGTTAATTAATTGAGTTTTTGGTTTGATAAGTACCTGAAATATTTCGGAGATCTTGTGCTTGTTTTTTTGAAGATTCTATATTTTTTGGAAGCTTGAACAGTGTTCAATGCTTATTATTAACAACGTTTTATAAAGTGCTAACTTATAATATTTACTTATACGAAAGACAGAACACTAATATTAACAATTATAAAATAGATCATATATTCTTTAATATAATCTTATCTATGTAATTTTTTAGGTTTATCATCTCAATGTTGTTGATAATGTAACGGGGAACTTGATACCGTTCCCCTTAAACTTTAATTTCACCATTTCATCATATCCTTTCCCCGCTATTTATCTCTTCATTTATTTTTTATTACTTTTCCCATATCTATCCCGCCCCTTTTAACAACTAATGTAATAAACACTTTGGGAAAATCAGTATTGAAAGAATGGAGAAATAAATTAAATAGTAATAAAATATTTGTTGATCCAAGTTTCCCCTGAGCTATTTATATAAAATTAGGTAAATTCTGCGTCT